CATGATCTTGTTTAGTTGGAGCAGTTGAGGGAAGGCATTAAGTTTGGGGGAATTTAACTTGTTGAGGTCGGTTTATATGCAAGTATCCCCACCCTCCCCCCCAAAACCTTCGTAATGAACATATCAGCCAACATAGTTGGTAGGGCGACGATGATTACTGCTGCTGCTGCTGCTGCCGCCGTTACTTGTAATGTTGGACCTGCTTCTTTAAAGAGGCCTAGAATCATAGGACGATTTGCAATCTCCTCTCACTTGAAAAAAGGCGGGCCCCTTGAATTAAATCTTCTTTGGAATCATGGCTCAAAGCTTCAGATTCAGAAGCCAACATCCACATCTTGAACCTGAAGCTGCCCAGTCTTATTCAGCATCCCTATTCAAATTCGAAACCTTGAAATTCATGGCCTCAATCATATGGGAAAAGGGGTAGTCCAGCAGGCCTCCGGATCCTGAATAAGGCCCATTGCTTACTGGCCCTCTTTAATTTGTCGCCTTGGATCCCTGCAAATTTGGGGGCCAGACCATCCCTTTTGCAATCAATCCCCAAAGCCCTCACAACCGCGGGGGGGTTTGAGAGGCCCTCGTTGAGGGTCAAGCTTCTGCTCTCCTACCCCCCCTCAGTCCCCAAGAATAGGGAAGGTCCCACACTACTGCTGCTCCTGCAAGTGTTGGAGAAGCTGCACTCAGAGCTGGACGTCCTCCAGCAGGCGCTCAACAGCTGTCAGCTCCTGTGAACGGGAGTATCAAGGCATTTGTGACATCCATAGCAGCAAGACCTTCTGCATCAACGGTAGTTAGAGTGAAAGTGCTAGATCGCCTGTGGCAATCATGCCATCGTACTCAGTGTTCGTGCTGGTGGTGGAGGCGGTTGAACAAGAAATATGTAGTGAGAATCTAGATATCCATACCTAGCCAGGTAGCAACAGAAGCAGTGTAGAAGACGACCGCAGACCAGGCGCAAAACAACACTTGTTGGTCTTGCAGAGTCAGGAGCCAGTTCAACAGCTCGGACTGCAGCCCACAGCCTCATTTGCAGCCTTGATATTAATATCAAGTGTCCAGCAGCGTACCAAGTACCGAAGAGATGACAACTTCTGTGCCCGAAGCTTGTGAAGGCCCCGCTCTTTGCTGTGCTGTGGCCTGCAAGCTCAAGTCCAGGACATCTCTCCGTGAGCCACCCTGGCACGCTTGCACCCGGTAGACTGTATCATGACAATCAGCCCAGCTCGGAAAGGTGTAAGGGGGTGGTGACCCACATAAAGTAACTGGTGCTGGAACTGCTCGTTCAGGTCTGTCAGCCCTGGTGGGAGGGTGTGAATGCCAGATAATGTTTAGCAACCCAAGACGGAAAGCAGTGCCGCCAGCATCAATGGATCCACTTGGGCTCCCTTGCACAGTCTATGCCAACATGCTGGAAACTTTTGCCTGCGCCGGTCGATCCAACTCGACGGTCTTGCGGCACAGAGGGCACCTTTTATAGGAAGTGCGATGCTGCGATGCTTGCTTGGTGTGAGTGGTGTTCTTAACATAGGAAAGTTACCATTGCATGTGTGGTAGCACGTGCTGCGAACGTCTTGGAAAAAGACTTGCCCAGCCCTTGAGGGACCTGGGCGCACCGTTGCTGACTGCGAAGCTCGCCACCTGCCACTGTGCTTTCGTAACTGAAGCTTTGCCGAAGTCGTGCTGCAGCAGTTGAGAGTTGGACATGGTGCAAGCATCAGAAATGCTGCGTCACGGGAGTTGTTGAAGCAACCCCTACAGAGTTGCTTCCAAGGTAGCGCCGGGCACGCCATCCAAGTCGTGATGCACGACTTGTGGAAGCGGTGCCTCAGAAAAACGCATGGTTGTTGCTCTCACCATCGAACTGGCAAGGATATCATGAAGGAAAGCGCTTTTTTTTGTACACGAAACGATCTATCAAAGGGACTATGGCTTGTCGAGTAGCAATGCCGCGCTGAAATACGCGTCAAAATGCCCTTGAAAGTGCTGACTTTGGGGTGTTCAACAGTTGACAAGGGGCGTAGGACACGTATCTGCAGCTGTGGGCCCTCTCAAGCCCTCTATTGAGAATTGAAGGCAAAGCCCCAGTAGGTATCAAGATGTATCAAGGTGAAACATGTATCCATCTGCTTCCTGAAGCGCAAGGCATCCATGCAAGTGGTGCGTGGCCCAGCAGCAGCATAGATTCAACATGTGCCTACAGTCTGGGATGAACCCGCATTTGGCGGTGGCTGCTGCATCTTTGTGTTGAGACTTTGCTTTCCAAACTGCTTGTGTGAGGGAATGTCAGATGCCAGGGATCGCCCCCTGGTCGACTTTAGCACAAATACCCGCTCACTGCGGGAAGAGCTCGTCAAAGGACGCATCCTCTCTGCACTTCTCCTCAGCCAGGATGCCGCTCTTGCTTGAGGCCCGCAGTCATCTATGGCTTTGTGCTGCTGTAGTCGGTATGCTGACCGCAACAGGGGGAAGTTGGGCGCGAATGCGCGTAGTCACCGGCTAGATTTTAAGAAAGTGGATTCCGCTTCTTGTTTCGCTATAGCATTGCAAACAGAACTGAAGCTTCTATGCCAGGTGGTCTGAAGGGAATAGGAAAAACGACATTCCCGACTGACTTAGACGCCCCAATCTGGTGAAGATTCAGCTTGCTTTTCCTTGCCGTACAGAAGAAGAGAAATGGCAACTAAGTCAGCATATGAGGCTTTCATTTTCTGCTGCCTTGCAGAATGGTAAGGAGCTGCATTGCAGGGTTGCTTCCAATCCATTTCCATCAAGCAAACTACCCTAGTGAGTGCATCCGCATCCCCGGCCTCCCAGAAGGTTTTGTTGTTTACCAGCGACTCTGTGGCCTCCAGCGCTTCTGGACAGAGCCGGGCAAAGGTGCCTTAGCAGAAGGCAGAGGGGACTTTGGTTTGAACAGGGAAGAGCAAGGCCATCATACTTGCCAGGCCAACCATGGTTTTTCTTGCATATTTCGAAACCCTGCCGCTGTTCAGCTACATCAGGAAACAAGCGAACCGCTGGCACGACAGATGGACTCTTCTGTGGTTTTCCACCTCCTGTTGCATCTTGAGCCTGAGTGCTGAAATAGGGCTGGACCACGAAGCTAATGAAGTTGATCCTGAGCAGTAGGGCGGCTGTGCGCAGGTGACATTGATGTGGTAGCTGTTCTTCACATATTAATAGCACAAGGCATCTAAACATAACCTTGACATCGCGCGGCCAAGTGGCTGCCCCTGCGGTATGCGCCCTTGCTCTGCAGCCCGATTGCACATGGGCGTGATGGGCCTGCAGCAGAGGCAACCCATGACCCATGCGAATAAGCAAGAACACGGACAACACAGTTGCTTCAATTTTCCATCCTTACTGTAAAAGGCCGGAAGCGACTGCACCATCCAGCATTAGCATTTGCTTTTCTAACGTTGCCTGTCAGTTGGACCCCAGTCATGTGGGAACGGCCCTCGTTCCCTGCAACTCTGAGCCCTCTGGCAGGGTTCACGTCATGAAAAAATCTATGTCCTCAGCTACGGAAGATCGAAGACGATACACTAACTGAATACACGCAAGGCTTGTGCTTCGACCAAGAGTGCGATCCTGTGCTAGCATCTCACTACAATGCTACCAGCACTGCTCTGACTATTCATTCCAGCAACTACCGTAAGAAAAGAAACAAGAAGTGTCAGGGGAAGACTCACAGTGCTGAGATCCGGACAAGCCGAGCCGCTGCTCTTCCTCGCCCTGCCATTGAAATGAATTGCAGCTTGCCCAGGACACAGGATCCCCAAGAAGTATCCTCAAGCAGAAAAACACAGCATCCAGAAGTTCTTGCACAACCTCTGATGATCATGTACTCCGGCGCAGCCTGTATTCAGCTCCAATAGGTACATTCAAACATGCCTCTCCAGCCTAGGTAACTTCAGTAAAGCACATGCCCTCAACTGTTGGACTTTGCGTATGTGAAATCTTGCAAGTAGCCTACGTGCAAATGTTCATCACCCTTCCACCTGCAACACCTTGAAAACTAGAATATATCTATTACTCATGAGCAGAAACTGACGTTGCCTGCGCCCAGAACTCCAGCGTAATTCTTCTCGTCCATTCTGCCAAGACAGCATTTGGCTTGATGTGATGATCAGTGTTCAGTTGGTTGCTAGTGCGCTTTTTGCGCGTATTGCACATCTTTCTCAGGCCCTTCTTGTCCTTCTCATCATATTTTCAGCTTCTTCCTCCTAATGCTATTCAGAACAATTACAATGAGATGTGCACCAACGCACGCAACATAGAGCTGTTGCAATATCATAATTCGTCACGCGACACACTCACAACTTTTTCAAAGCTTTCTACTAACACGCTCAGATTACCGCAGTTGTTCCGTGTCAAGCTTGTGTGCATGTTTGTCCTGTTGAGACTGCCCAGGTTTCCAGCAACACTTGGATGCCGTGGTACATGAATGTCGGCCTAACATCATCTTCCTTGGCTTCGTGGGGTTCGATATGTCCTTGGCTGCTTTGGAGGAACATCTACGTTCCGCTCAGCACAGTGCTGTCCAACCCAGGGAGCCATGTGAGGCAAGCTGCAGCTGCATGCACGATGTTCTGCAGCAGGAGCTCTTTCCTTTGTGGCATAGGTCAGAATTCAGCTGAGCATAGCAGAAATGCATAGCAGCTCTCACAAAGCAGGTTTCAAAACAATTTAGCAGCGAAGGCTCCTTTCTAAAGCCGCCTGACCATGTGGGAGGTCGGTGGACGAGCCAGTCTCCTTCAAAACGCGACGGTTCTTTCATTGTTACAGTCCAGGACTTCTGTGCGGGCATCTCAAACAAATATTTTTCGATCCGGCTATGTGGCGGGGGCAGGCACAACGTCTGCCTCTTCCGCCAGCTTCAGCATGTCGTTCTGATGGTTGCGGTGCTTCGCCTCAGATGCATGTGCAGAGCGGCGCCGGAATTGAAGACAAGCAGCAAATTTGAAGCAGTAAGAAGCGGGCCATATCAGTCCCGAGGATGATTGTTATGAGCAGCCTCCGGACATACCTTGCATCAAATCAAACTTGGACAGGGCCAGTCAACTGCCTCGCTGACTCGGCTACTTTCTTCATGCCTGCAAGAGGGCATTGCATGCGAGACTGCCATAGATGCGTTTGAAGTTCTGCATTTGCCTTTAAGGACATTGCCGAACCACTGTACTCAGGGCAAGGAGCAGACCTATTGCAGCTACCAGCTCTTTCTTGTGGTGACATGCAGAGGCCGCATAACCTCAATCCATGGCCACATGTGACACTTCTGCCCAGGTTGCTTTTGAAGGTTGACAGGTTCGGCCTGGCAGAGATACAGGTGGGGTTTCCCATGATTAGGGGTACCATTGTGGGGAGATACCTATGGGCAAACGTTTGGGCATTGATTTTGCTCCTATGGAATTTGGAGCCCAGGTCATGGTCCGCAAGCATAGTACGTCGGCTGGATCTGCACCACTATGCGCCTACTAAAAGCTAGCGCCAGACCAGCTTAAAGATGTTTTGGGTTGCATCGCGGTCACAGATGACAAGAGGCAGATTTGGTAGTTTCCCAAAATGGGGGGACCCAAATATACTATAATCCTCTCATGCTTGGACACCCTGATATACCGCCCGATTACTATGATCCATTCTGCAAGACCACCACAATAGGGACCCATTGAGGAACCCTAGAACTTAAACCTTACATCATCTTCTACAACCTATATGCAAGATCCACATGTAATTCAAGGAAAAGCCCCGCAACACAGGGCGTATGATTAGGAGAAAGTTCCAGTTCTACTGTATCACAAATCATTTGTGATGCCTCGGGTGCATCGCCGTCGAGGCGGAAATCTCGTGACAGGAGGACAAACCAGTTGCAGTCCTCGCAGGCAAGACAAGAGACAGTTGCTGATTGAAAGCAGAGACCACTTTGCAACAACACAGTGTGTTTTCATTGTTACCATTCCCTTTTCACTACTGTTGGAATTGGCAACTTAAATCGGAGATCTGGAGGCCATTCATGGGATCGCTACTGGCTCATGTTGTTTCCAAAAACCAGAACTTGAATCAGACTCGCCATGATGGATATGCATACTTTTTTTCTGACTGAAATCTAGTGATGTGTGACCTGACCGTCGCTGGGCAAGCGAGCGACGTCCTGATCCTGTCCAACCATTACTGGAAGCCTCCTGCAATCCCCCTGATCCGTATGCAAGCCCTTCATGGGAGTTTCTCGACTTGATCACCGCGTAATTGAGAAGGGCCCGCTGTTTTGAGAAACCTCCCAAACCCAACCAAGCCCTTTCCCTACCCCAAACTTAACCTCCAGACCTGCATCTTGAAACCTTAGGGCACCTGTAGTGCACAAATATAATCCTTTTGTGATCACATACCCCCCTTGTAGCCAGTTCCCGAGCCTCTTTTTGGGTCAGGATCTCAAAGGCAGTCCTGAACTGGTGATGTCTCACAGAGGGAGACTTCAAGTACCCAGTGAAAGCAGCATTAAAAGTTGGTTCTCATCATTTCCACTATAAGGATTAACAGAGGGTCCGTTTGATGGGATCCAAATGCCAAAACTCGGGAGACTTTTCCACAAACTGGAGCGCACTTGTTCACTTTGATTCTGAGATCCAAGCGGAACAAAACACCAGAACCAACACCGGCACGATCACTCACGGCCACGACCATAACAGTTACCATAAACACGACCACGCCCATAACCACGACCCCGACGATGACGACAATCAGGACTGCGACGACTACGACTGTTACTACTACGAATATACTATCACTACTATATAACCCCAATATATACCCTATAATCCCGATATAAACCCTATGATCCCTGTAGTTTCCATTTTCTTTTCCATTCTCCCTATTTGAGCAGCCAGCCAGCTTGAGGCAAGGAGCGCGGCATGGAAGTTCTCCAGAACACTCTGGTCGTTATACGTCAGTGCCAGCTCGGACATGGTCGCCTTCTGGTACTCGTTGTTCCGACCTGGATGCCTGATACAGGTCCAATGAAAGTCTAGCAGAGTCTACCAAGCGTGGGATGACTCTCGCAACTACTGGCAATTAGAACGTAGAGGCCGCACTAGACTACTGTTGAGCCAGCGTGCAACTGGGGTCAAGCAGTGGTTCAAATTGCATCCGAGGTGCCCGACATCGTGCATGGCTCCGGCTACCACCTGAGAATGATCTTCATCGCTCTTCATAACCAAGCGCAAACTATGTCACTTCCGGTCATTATGCTTCCGCCAGGCTGCGCTCATGGTGTAATCCAGCAACGATGTTCGCTGCATGAAGTACGGCTGCCGCAGGAACCAGCAGGTGGTTGCCATTACCTGGATACTCACTGCCCCCTATCCAAGTACTGTTATCCGAATTGTAAGGCCCCATTGAGCAACTGCGATGTAGGGCAGCAATCTGCGACTCGTTTGTTCACGTATAGGTACGTACATCATGAATGTTTCACATGCACATAAAAGTATCAAATCAAAGTATCAAATCCTTGTACTGTACCCATGTTATGCGCAGCCAGTTGCCAATCCTGATGTTCACAGTATACCAGCTCATACTGCTTCCAGGATGCATCAGTAGCGTGGGCAGAGCTGTGGTAGATTGCCTGACAGACTCTTGCACTGGCCACACACAAAGTAACATGCCAAACGCATAGACAGCATCCATTACTCTCTTGCAAGGAGAACCAAAATAGAACAGGACTTTGGTAGGCTGGATGCAAGGGCTGGAATTTCTGGCAGATGAAAAGCCTACTAAGCGCGGACTAGGCAGGGCTTCCGCAAAGAGCGGAAAGATGAACACCAAAGTCTCCACTTATCGGAGTTGCGGATATCATGCGGGTGGGACGATTGTGGCATTGGCAGCTTGCAACAGCAACGCAACGGTTTGTATGCCTTCACGCAGCACTTTTGACATGATGTCCAGCCTTTGCCAAGTATCTTCTGTCAAGCTCGCGCAGAAATCGCGCCACCTGATTTTTCAGGACGTGCCAGCAGTAGCAAGCAATGCAGGACTGCAAAGGTCTCAGCACTGCAGGGCTACTTGCTTGATGACATCACGGAACTCTTCACTGCATGCTCCGTCTAGAGCTCTTTCCTTCATGTGCCATAGTTCCAGACCACAACATTCTGAGACTGCGTGCGGCCAAAGCGACTCTGCCCTCAAAGGTGGCGCCTGGAGGGCAGTCGACCCATCCGTGCTCCTGGTCTGGTCTTGCAATGTTCAGACAGGCGTCGAACCCCGAGGTCACTTGCTCAGTTGCCATTGCAAGCTTCGTTTTCCTTCGACCCTGTGCGGGGTGAGTGTGCAGTGTCTGCACTGAGTATCTTGCATAGAGCACGACCAAAATGGGCAAAAGCGACGCTACAGCACTCTCCTGTCCTCTTGCAAACCTGCCCTGGCAACCGCGCAAATCAGGGTTGGGTCACCTTAAGCAGTCCTCAAGCCCCGAAATGTATCCGCAGGAGGATAGCAAGTACGTGCCCAGCGTGGTAATGGGCTTATCTTGCACCTGACAGACAGAGGTACGCTGACTGCAATGAGTCAACATGGCATCCAAAATCTTTTGAGGCCTCACCAAGATTTCTGAAGGACGAAACACATCATCTGACTTGCGTGAACATTCATCTTGTAACTCCCTCGAAAGTGTTAACCATGATGTGTGGAAAGTTGACTTCGTCGGCAGGACATGCTGCAGAGCCCACTCGGCAAGCAAACAGCACAAATGCTTGATCTGTAGGGATAGCATCTCGCTACATCCCTGGTTGTGGTAAATTATCCGACAGTCCGCCTCCACTGGAACTATGAGATCTCACGTTCAGGCCTGTACCTTCATCCAATCCAAGAGACTGCTAGGAGTTTTGGTATCAGTCCGAGAAAACAAAGCAATGCCTTCAAGTCTCTCCCTCCAGCCTCGGGCAATGCTGCAAAGGACAGCGCGTCAAAGTCGAAATGCCCTGCCTAAGTGTACAGAACTCTCATGCTTTTGTCTGTGCATGCGCGCTGTCAAGGCTTGCCCTTAATGCCGCATCTCGTTATAGTACCCGCAGAGAGAAGCAGTTGCCATCTTGTGTTCTTAGACCTGTAGATTAACCAGGAGTCTTATAACCCGGCGAATGCTCTGGACTGCTGCTTGCAAGTGCTGCAGCAAGGCCTTCTCCAAAAGCTTGGCCACACCCTCCGCATGCAGTGCCTGCCGCGCCATGCTATGCTGGGCTTGTTTTCGTACAGGTATCTCTGTCCCCCTCCGGCAACAGTAAGAGAGAGGGAGAGAGACAGAGATGGAGGGAGGAAGGGAGGGAGAGGGAGAGGGAGAGAGAGAGGGAGAGAGAGAGGGAGAGGGAGAGAGGGAGAGGAGAGAGGGAGGGAGAGAGAGGGAGGGAGGGAAAGGGAGGGAGGGAGGGAGGGAGGGAGACAAAGGAGGGAGGGGAGGGGAAGGAGGGATGGATGGATGTCGTGGGATACCAGTGGAGTGACTCGACACATGCCTTTCATCGTCTGGGCACTCACCCACAACCTCCCTCTTGGGGATCTTACTGTTGTCACCCGTGTCCAGGCAAAAAATAGTTTTTGAGGGCGTCTCAGGCACCCAGCGGCCTTCTTGGCGCTGGCCTTCGGAGAAGAGATCGAGTCCGATACCTGCTGAGTGAAGCGTGCAGATGCAGAAGAGGGGGTTTATAAGGCCTCTTCGGCCCATCGGAACCTTTTTCGCTCTGGCAAACATGCAGTATCTGAAGCCGACCCGTCAATCTCAACAACCATTTTCGCACTATCAGCGAACCTAAGCCATGAGCTTCCGCCCCCACCATGCAGCTAAGATGCTCGTCGGCTTGGCGAAGTAGCCTGTTCACGTGGCACTGGAAACGCATGGCCGTTTCTGAAAAGTGGCTTCCCCTCGAAAGCCTGGTACCTTTTATCAGGAACCTGACGAATGGCTTTGGGTGGCCTGGAACCTCAGCAATTCAAATTGGCTTCGGGACACCCCTCCCATCTGCGGTGGGAAGAAGCTAGAACCGCAGTGCACGTGCTGATTACAGCTTCCCTGCTTGTGGGCGGCGGCCATGCGCAGCAGGTAGGACAAGCCGGTGATGTGCACAAAGCTGCGGCTGTCATAAGACTACCTGCTGAAAACCAACCTCTTCACAGGATGCACCCTCTCGCATTTGAAGCCCCAAAGCCTCTCGTGATCTCTGTGCCCGTTTTGTCAGCAGTTACTGCCAGACTCCGTTCCATGCCACCAGGGCAGCCCCACACACTCCAAGACCCCATGCTACTCAAGGAAGATAATCCCTGTAAACCCCTATAGAAACCCAGTTTCCATGTTCCACTGTTTGAGTCTCTAGTACTGGTAATTATGCTATAGACCACGCTGGGGCCTGGTGCCCCGCAGACGCATCTGGATCCAGGTCTGTGAAGGTATGCATCAAATATCGCCTCAGCGCCCCAAGCAGCAGCAGAGTGCTAGAGCTGGTTCGCCTTCGTCTAGAGATTGTGATGCATATAAACATGTAATCCTACAACAAGCGGCGGATAGTCTTGCACCTGATAAGCCTTGCCCCCTCCCCCCCCCCCAAGATTGCGATTCTTGCGTACACATGTTATGTAGAAGCTTGGTGTCTACAGAAACTGTGATGATGCCCATGCCAGATCATAGAGAAGCCTGCAGAAAGTCCACAGCGAAACCAGGGCATCTGCTCTTGGGACTAAACATGACTAAACAAGACGCAACTCCCAAGAAGACTATCACCTATCGATGATACTGTATCAATTTCTTTGCGGAACCTATTTTTTTTAACGCTCCAAACCCTCATTATCCTAAAACCCTACCAAACTGGAGCTCGTCCTGGGCCCTTCTTGCTGGAGAAGCTTTCTGAGTCTCAGTCTTGGCATGCTCATCCGCTCCGAGAAACATATCCTGAAGCTTAGCGATTCAGCATCTAGGCATCAAGGGTTCAGCCATTTAGGGTTTCGTGGGAACAGTTGGGTGTAAATGGGTGGCCCTTGATTGCTAATTAGGGATTCGAGCAGGAGTCTTGCCTCTGCCACTGTTCCATTACTTCAGAACTGTGCCTGCTCTAATGTTTGACTCCCCTGGAAGGCACATAGAAAACAAGGAATCCAATTTCTCAGGACTCTCTTGGATTTTCACTACGGGCCGTTCTGAGCCCAATGAAAAGCTGAGCCTCGAACGCATTGCTCATGCCAAGGTGGCTCTACTTACAGGGTTAGTAGGGAAGAAAGGAACATATTACATAGAGATTGGGGTTCCCTGAGTCTCTGCTAACCACCAGTAAACCTAGTTGCGTTGCTGTCGTGGTTCCAGGTACCAGGCGGGGGTCAGACTGTTAAAGAACCCTGTGCGTGAAATCTCACCCTTTAGTAGCATCCTCGGCGTCGATGCCGGCGGCAATGCGCTCCAATCTGGGCTTTGCCAGCTCTTGCTCACCTGGTATGAGGATGTTCTGGGTTCAGGTTCTAGGATCTTAGCGGCTCAACCTCAAGTGACTCAAGATGTGGTAATTCTCAAAAGACAAAGGGACTCAGAATCTTAAGGCACTTCTTGATGAGGGCTGGCCTTCCTTGCAGGTTTACTGCTTTTAACAGCACCTTCAACGGAGGAGCGCCAGCAGTTCTATGCTGATGATTACCATTATGATTCCTATGAAAACTTCTAAAACAAAACCATCGCTGATACTGAGGTGCGACTATGCATACAGGTCTGGTGGTAGGACCAACCTTAAGAGCGGGGAGATTAGGAGCTTATGTCCCTTTCGCTGTGTAGATAGCTAGAGAGAGGACGGTCTCCTGTTCAGCGCCCCGACCTCAAACTACGTACCTCTGAGCCAATACTGAACGTACCATTCCTGCTGCACCGCCTGTGTGATCTTAATGCCAGAAATGCTGGGCATCAGGGCAGCCTGATTTCGTGTGGGTCATGCAGGTAGCTCACAGAATCAGGGTCTACCCATATATATTGCCAAACTACAAAATCCATGATAGCAGGGGCCATGAAGAAGGGGCTCATGTCTTCCAAAACCGCCCTTGCGCTTCTTACGTGTCCCTATATACCCCTGTATAATGTGTGTAAAGCCTTACACTAGAGAAGCCGAGATAATCACCATACAAAGGGGATAAATGGTACTTTCCCAAAATGAGGGGACTCCAATATAGACCCCAATATACTACAATCATTATTATGGGGACCCCCAATAGGGTACCCCTAATTATGGGAAACTCCCAAATCCCAATATAAACAAAACTTTCAACTCGAGCGCTGCCCTGCAGACCCCAAAACCCTATGACTGTCACGCAAACCAAAAGAAGAATGACATCCAAACTCTAAGCCCTAAGCACTGAACCCACTTAGGGTCCCTATGTCACTTGAATTCTTCTGGCTTTATAGGGAAGGTAAGGATGCTATGGTTCATATAGACCCCAATATACTATAATCCTTATTATGGGGACCCCCAATAGGGTATAGTCAAAAACAACCCATTATAGTACCCATTATAGTAGTTGCCATTTTCTTTTCCATCATCCCAATATAACCCCAATATAACCCCAATATTATCCCAATATTACCCCAATATAAGCCCCAATATAATCCCAATATAAACCCTATATAACCCCTATATAAACCCCAATATAACAGTACAGCCAGCCTTCATAATAGTCAAAAATGGTACTTTCCCAAAATAAGGGGGACCCCAATATAGACCCCAATATACTATAATCCTTAATAATCCTTATTATGGGGTACAGCCAGCCCTCACCCTTTGCAGTGGCCTTTTCGCAGAAGCGCCTCTGCCTCCGCTAGGAGCTGCGCAGCTTCCTTCGCGTAGAGGCTTTGGGAGGTTCAGGGATTCAAAAAACTGAGGGATTAATGGAAAAGAAGATGGAAGCTACTATAGTATA